GCATTGTAGTGTTGACAGGGGCTGATGCTACGCCGGGGTAAAAATAGGTTGCTACGTCCGACGACCTCCATCCAGTTCGTCGTCGCCGCAGCCGCAAGTGTGGTGCCTGACCCATGTGTTCCGCCTGCCCCCCGCCTGCCTGCCCCTTTTCGTGCGTGTCCAGCCTGCGCAAAGCTGGGCAGAAGGGGAAACCCATGGAGCTACAGCAGCCGTGGATGCGTAAGGATTACGTGGCCAACATGGGGGGAGTAGATACGGCCGACCAACAGAATGGTTCCCACGCCCATGACCACAAGGCGTGCACGAACTACTGGCGGCGAGTGATGGAGGCCAAGATTGAGCAGACGTTCACCAACATTTTCGTGATGTTCAAGGCTTTGGTAGCCTTCTGGGACGGTGAAGCGAAGGAGAGGCTCGAGAGAGGAGACCTAGACCTTGAGTCGTCGATGGAGTTGGAGGGAGTGGTGAAGGAGCTCCGCAGGTTGGCCAATCTTGAGAGGTCGGACTGGGACGAACAGATGTCGACGGAGCTCATGGGGAGGTGCGGTGTTGGTAGCCTCAACAAGGGGGGGAGACAGGTCAAAGATACGGAACCCCCGAAGGACGTTTGGGGGAGCGTTCACATTAAGACAAAACGCAAGTGCATGTACCCCGGATGCAAGAAAACGACAAGAAAAGGGTGTGCCTGCGAGGCGTTCTGCGGTGCAGGGCGGGAGGGGGGCGGGGGGGTTTTGATGGTGCAAGGGATGCTTCGAGAACCCGGCGAGGCACGCCTAGGGCCGCACGGGCTGAACGGGAGGCCTCGAAGTTCGGAAAAAGGACACGGAAGGATATGAACTGGTGCTCGTGACCGTTTTTTGTTGTTGTTGCGAGTGTTTCGGGCGGAGGAAACAGGGATCGACTCGTGTAAGGGTCCCTTGACATATTTTTTGGCAGGCAGACTGATCGTAGCGCATCATCTTCCCGTCCGTCATGAAAATGTTTTACTCCGTCGTTTACCTGTTGTGTCTTCCCGATAGCAGTGGTATTATAGTGTGGGGCGTTTGTGTTGTGTACTTGTTTACCACCCATCTGTATCATGTAGCGGTCGAAAGTACGATCGTTTTCATCCTTGCGAGATAAAGTGCAAGTTACTGAATCACAATATTGTAGGTCTTTCATTCCGCGCTATTTCTGAAAGCGTGTGTCTTTAGAGTCTGAAGCGTCCTCCGGGATATGCGGTGAAGAGTGCTTGTCGGGCAACTGTTGGTGGGAGCCGGCGGTGTCACCTGCGGTAGTGAGTTTTTAGCCCCCCCCCCTTTAGCCCCCATTCGCTTGTAACTACTGTCAGTGTTGTTGCGATTAGCCACGGCTCGTGTATCGCTCGTTGTGTGTCGTTTTTAACCCG